CTTTGCTCCACAACACTTGTACTGATTCGTTAAGCTCCTTAGTGGCCTATTTCCCAAAAGATTAAATAAATTGTAAATTTTAAAATAAACAAAGAAAATTAAACTAAATGGAAAAAACTTACACTATTCAGATTGTTTGTAACCTTGGCTAAGTCAGTCACACACTCATCCAACTTGTTATGCTGTTCAGAAGTTCTCCGCCTGTTGAACAAGTCAGCAATTCCAGTTCCAACCGAAGCAAAAATGAGTACATTAATCGTTGTTATGATCCCAGCATCTTTGACTCTAACCCGAAGGCCTTTCATTTTTTCCCTTGAGGGGAATAGTTTTGAGAGAGACAAAAAGCGCTCCATAGGAAAATCTAGAAAAACTACATTGCAAAAAACTCTTAATACTAAATTTTAAAATAAATTTAGCAAAATAAGGAAAGAGGCCATGAAGACCGGGAGGGAGCTTGAATGGCATCCACTTTGCTCCGCAACACTTGTATTGATTCGTTAAGCTCCTTAGTGGCCTATTTCCCAAAAGATTAAATAAATTGTAAATTTTAAAATAAACAAAGAAAATTAAACTAAATGGAAAAAACTTACACTATTCAGATTGTTTGTAACCTTGGCTAAGTCAGTCACACACTCATCCAACTTGTTATGCTGTTCAGAAGTTCTCCGCCTGTTGAACAAGTCAGCAATTCCAGTTCCAACCGAAGCAAAAATGAGTACATTAATCGTTGTTATGATCCCAGCATCTTTGACTCTAACGCAATTCCAGTTCCAACCGAAGCAAAAATGAGTACATTAATCGTTGTTATGATCCCAGCATCTTTGACTCTAACCCGAAGGCCTTTCATTTTTTCCCTTGAGGGGAATAGTTTTGAGAGAGACAAAAAGCGCTCCATAGGAAAATCTAGAAAATCTACATTGCAAAAAACTCTTAATACTAAATTTTAATATAAGTTTACCGAAACAAGGAAAGAGACTATGGAGGCCGGGAGGGAGCTTGAATGGCATCCACTTTGCTCTGCACCACTTGTATTGATTTGTTAAGCTCCTTAGTGGCCTATTTCCCGAAAAGATGAAATGAATTGTAAATTTTAAAATAAATAAAGATAATTAAAGTAAATGGAAAAAACTTACACTATTCAGATTGTTTGTAACCTTGGCTAAGTCAGTCACACACTCATCCAACTTGTTATGCTGTTCAGAAGTTCTCCGCCTGTTGAACAAGTCAGCAATTCCAGTTCCAACCGAAGCAAAAATGAGTACATTAATCGTTGTTATGATCCCAGCATCTTTGACTCTAACCCGAAGGCCTTTCATTTTTTCCCTTGAGGGGAATAGTTTTGAGAGAGACAAAAAGCGCTCCATAGGAAAATCTAGAAAAACTACATTGCAAAAAACTCTTAATACTAAATTTTAAAATAAATTTAGCAAAATAAGGAAAGAGGCCATGAAGACCGGGAGGGAGCTTGAATGGCATCCACTTTGCTCCTATTGGTTGGGATTGAGGTTGGAGTGTTAGAGATTGAGGAATTGGGTGTTACGGATTTAGGGATTTATAATAGGAATAACTCCATTGTTTGAGAATAGATACAAGTTAAACTCTAAGATTTTAAACAAGGTGCGTTAAGCCTCTTTCCTTTGAACTTTAGTTGACGTGTTTTTTGTTTTTGTTTTATTGTGAAACTTTCTTCAATTTTTTTCTTATTTACAAGCAAATCAATAAAAAGTTTAAATAAAAAGAAATACATTTCTAGAAACTAAATGTTTAACCTCGACTTTATAACCTTTCAATTTCTTTGATGTTGTTTGATTAAACAATAAATAAAGTCAATGTATAAACGCCAAGAGTATAAACTAAATTGTTAGTATTTTTCTTCTTGATTATGTGTTAAATAGAGAATAAAGGCCTTGTTTGGTGATATAAACAATTGTTAACCTAAACCCTAAACTCTCTTTCTGCTCTTGTCGTGCCCATCTCATTGCTCTCGTTTCTCTCTTCTTTTTTTTTTTTTTTCTTTTCTATCTTATGTGTGGTTGTGATACATTTTTCTCTCTTCATTTCCTTTTATAACTCAGCCACACACTTATCCATCATGTTCTGCTGCTCAGAAGTTCTCCGCCTATTGAACAAGTCAGCAATTCCAGCTCCAACTGAAGCAGAAATAAGTATATTAGTCGTTGTTATTATCCTCGCATCGTTTACTTTATCACAAAAGCCTTTGATTTTTTCCCTTGAGGGGAAGTGTTTGGAGAAAGAGGAAAAGTGCTCTATTGGTTGGGATTGAGGTTGGAGTGTTAGAGATTGAGGAATTGGGTGTTACGGATTTAGGGATTTATAATAGGAATAACTCCATTGTTTGAGAATAGATACAAGTTAAACTCTAAGATTTTAAACAAGGTGCGTTAAGCCTCTTTCCTTTGAACTTTAGTTGACGTGTTTTTTGTTTTTGTTTTATTGTGAAACTTTCTTCAATTTTTTTCTTATTTACAAGCAAATCAATAAAAAGTTTAAATAAAAAGAAATACATTTCTAGAAACTAAATGTTTAACCTCGACTTTATAACCTTTCAATTTCTTTGATGTTGTTTGATTAAACAATAAATAAAGTCAATGTATAAACGCCAAGAGTATAAACTAAATTGTTAGTATTTTTCTTCCTTATTATGTGTTAAATAGAGAATAAAGGCCTTGTTTGGTGATATAAACAATTGTTAACCTAAACCCTAAACTCTCTTTCTGCTCTTGTCGTGCCCATCTCATTGCTCTCGTTTCTCTCTTCTTTTTTTTTTTTTTTCTTTTCTATCTTATGTGTGGTTGTGATACATTTTTCTCTCTTCATTTCCTTTTATAACTCAGCCACACACTTATCCATCATGTTCTGCTGCTCAGAAGTTCTCCGCCTATTGAACAAGTCAGCAATTCCAGCTCCAACTGAAGCAGAAATAAGTATATTAGTCGTTGTTATTATCCTCGCATCGTTTACTTTATCACAAAAGCCTTTGATTTTTTCCCTTGAGGGGAAGTGTTTGGAGAAAGAGGAAAAGTGCTCTATTGGTTGGGATTGAGGTTGGAGTGTTAGAGATTGAGGAATTGGGTGTTACGGATTTAGGGATTTATAATAGGAATAACTCTAGTTTGGGAATAGATACAAGTTAAACTCTAAGATTTTAAACAAAGTGCGTTGAGCCTCTTTCCTTTGAACTTTAGTTGACGAGTCTTTTGTTTTTGTTTTTTTGTGAAACTTTCTTCAAATTTTTTCTTATTTACATGCAAATCAATATAAGGTTTATATAAAAAGAAATACATTTCTAGCAACTAGATCTTTAACCTCGACTTTATAACTTTACAATTTATTTGATGTTGTTTGATTAAACAATAAAGTTAATGTATAAACGCCAAGAGTATAAACTAAATTGTTAGTATTTTTCTTCTTGATTATGTGTTAAATAGAGAATAAAGGCCTTGTTTGGTGATATAAACAATTGTTAACCTAAACCCTAAACTCTCTTTCCGCTCTTGTCGTGCCCATCTCATTGCTCTCATTTCTCTCTTCTTTCTTCTTTTTTTTTTTCTTTTCTATCCTATGTGTGGTTGTGATATATTTTTCTCTCTTCATTTCCTTTTATAACTCAGCCACACACTTATCCATCATGTTCTACTGCTCAGAAGTTCTCCGCCTGTTGAACAAGTCAGCAATTCCAGCTCCAACCGAAGCAGAAATGAGTACATTAGTTGTTGTTATTATCCCCGCATCATTTACTCTACCACAAAGGCCTTTGATTTTTTCCCTTAAGGGGAAGAGTTTTGAGAGAAAGGAAAAGCACTCCATCGGTAGGGGTTGGGGTGTTAGGGATTTAGGAATTGGGTGTTACGGATTTAGGGATTTATAATAGGAATAACTCCATTGTTTGAGAATAGATACAAGTTAAACTCTAAGATTTTAAACAATGTGCATTGAGCCACTTTTCTTTGAACTTTAGTTGACGAGTCTTTTGTTTTTGTTTTATTGTAAAACTTTCTTCAATTTTTTTCTTATTTACAAGCAAATCAATAAAAAGTTTAAATAAAAAGAAATACATTTCTAGCAACTAAATGTTTAACCTCGACTTTATAACCTTACAATTTATTTGATGTTGTTTGATTAAACAATAAATAAAGTCAATGTATAAGCGTCAAGAGTATAAACTAAATTGTTAGTATTTTTCTTCTTAATTATGTGTTAAATAGATAATAATGGCCTTGTTTGGTGATATAAACAATGGTTAACCTAAACCCTAAACCTTCTTCCCGCTCTTGTCGTGCGCTTCTCATCGCCCTCCTTTCTTTTCTCTTTTTTCTTTTCTCTCTTATGCGTGGTTGTGATATATTTTTCTCTATTCATTTCCTTTTATAAGTCAGCCACACACGTATCCATCATGTTTTGCTGCTCAGAAGTTCTCCGCATGTTGAACAAGTCAACAATTCCAATTCCAACCGAAGCAAAAGTGAGTACATTAAATCCCATTTCAAAATTAGTCAAGGGTGTAGCAATGCCTTCACAGAGATGGGTTTCAGAAATTGGAAGAAGAAAGAAAGAATTAGCAATCATATTGGAGGTGTTGGAAGTGTTCATAATCAATCTAGACAATATTGTATAGATCTTGTGAATCAGAAGCAACACATCCAAATAGTTTTGGGCAAGCAATCAGACCAAGCTCGTATTGATTATCGTATTTGCTTGACAACTTCTCTTGATTGCGTGAGAGTTTTGTTGAAGCAAGGTCTTCCTTTTCGTGGCCATGATGAGAGTGACACTTCAAACAACAGGGGGAATTATTTGGAGCTCTTACAATTTCTTGCTGATCATGATGAGAAAGTTAAGGCGGTTGTGTTAGAAAATGCTCCAGGGAATCTCAAGCTAATAGCTCCAACAATTTAAAAAGATCTAGTGAATGCTTGTGCCACTGAAACTATTAAGAAAATCATTAAGGATATGGATGGTCAATAAAAGAACAGATGACAATGGTTGATGAATCACAAGATGTGTCAATAAAAGAACAGATGACAATGGTGTTTTGTTATGTAGACAAAAGTGGGGATGTAATTGAAAGGTTTGTGGACATTCAACATGTTAGTGACACTACATCAAAATCACTAAAGGAGGCTATTGAGACATTGTTTTCAAGAGAGGAATTGAGCATTTCTATGCTAAGAGGACAAGGATATGATGGAGCTAGTAATATGAAGGGTGAGTTTAATAATCTTAAAACACAGATTTTCAGAGAAAATCCTTGTGCCTATTATATTCATTGTTTTGCACATCAACTTCAATTAGCTCTTGTGGCTGTGACAAAGGGAAATGTTGATATTGCCACTTTCTTCACATCTTGCAATAGCTTGGTTAATATTGTTGGAGCATCGTGTAAGCGTTGTGACATACTTAGAGATAAACTACAAAAGGATATTATGGAAGCTCTTGAAAAAGATACTCTTCCAACATGGCAAGGCTTAAATCAAGAAACTTGTCTCAAGCGTCTCGGTGATACACGTTGGAACTCACATTATGGTACATTACTTAGTATCATTTCTATGTTCAAATCTGTGGTGAAAGTGCTTGAATTGATTATTGAGGATGGCTCCATTGATAATATAGGTTAAGCAAATAGGTCATTGAGAGATATACAATCTTTTGAGTTTGTATTTCATCTATTTTTCGTGAGATCTATATTGGGAGTCACAAATGATTTGTCACAAGCATTACAAAGGATAGACCAAGATATTGGGAATGCAATCACTTTAGTCAAAGATTGCAAGGACCAACTACAACACATGAGAGATAATGCATTTGAAGCCTTGCTTAATCCAGTATCTTCCTTTTATGGCAAACATGATGTTGAGGTTCCAAACATGGATGATGCATATATAGCTCAATGGAGATCACATCGGAGAGCTCCTAGAATAACACATCGCCATCATTATCGTGTGGATATCTTTATTCAAATCATTGAGTGGCAACTTGTGGAATTAAATCATCGTTTTAGTGAGGTGTGTGGGAGCAAATATTTTCGTCTCCAATCAGAGCACGCCACGTGAAAAAGAAGATTATCCCTTAAATTAATTAATTAAACCATTTATTGAGATAATTAATTAATCTGGATAATATCTTAATTATATGGTATTATCTCATAATTAATAAAGATAATATCATTAATTGGGATATTATCATAATAAAGGGATATTATCTTATAATTAATGAGATAATATCAATAATTTGGTTATTATCTTATCAAAGGGATAATATCCTAATTATGAGATATTATCTTATAATTAACGAGATAATTCAGATATTATCAAGTATGACTCGATCTCTATGAAACCCTAGCCCCGAGGCTCCTATAAATAGATGGGTTTATTCATCATTCAAGGTACATCTAAACCTACTCCTGATACCCGAGAAAATACCCGAAGCTCGCTCTCTCTCCCTCTCCACTCTCTAATCTCCATATCTTCTCCACACGGCTCCGGCCACAACACACGGCTCCAGCCGCCCGGTTCACACCATACATACAACTCCGTACCCTTTGCTTAGCTATTGTTTTCCCACAAACACTCGAACTAACTTAGGCATCAGAGGGCCTTTGGCCAACACCCCCCGGGTGTAGTCTATTTACTCCAATCTTTTTTACAGGAATCGAGAAGGAGAGAGAAGAAAGATCGAAGGTTGACGGATCTAGAAGCAAATATTCTCCCGCGAGATTATTTGAACAAACGTTTGGTGCTTTCATTGAGAGCACGAGTTATACTCAACGCGTGCTCAAGGAATCCGTTCCTCCTATTTTCCAAATCCATCGAAGCCTTCCAAACAACCATGGTTGGAAGCAAGCGCACGAGGAGCAAGACCGCCTCGATGGCTCAATCCGTGACGGCCCAAAGTTACTCCTCCCACGATCCCGCGATCAACATGGTGGCGCCATGTTGCATTCCTAAGAGGACACAAATTAATGTGCAAACAACCAATTAAAAATACCCGCAAGTGCACGAATCTATTGAAGTACACCACCTTTAGCCGCCATGAACCCGCAACAAACCACCGCGCCACCTGCCGGACCCGCGGTTGGGAAAACCGCACTAGCTGTCGTCGTACCATCTCAAGGCCCCGAGGCCGGATCTAGCCATCTTCATGGCACCGTCGCCGAACATGGTGGAACCTCCCATCAGGGTGGGCTCACTACCACTGCCGAATTTGGCCCAATCTTGGAGCAACTCCGGTCAGTCCCTCCATTGCCTCCGCGCCCGACGCATGCTCCCGCTCACACCGCTCATGAAACCCTAGCCCGTGTGCAATTGGGCTCCACACACTTCTCTCCTCCCGATCCACGAAGTCAAGTAGACCTTAATCTGAGAGTTGACCAGCTAACTCAGAGAATGGACGACCAAAACAATTTGATGAGTCGACTCCTCAGCCAAATAAACTTGGCACAAAACCTTGGCCTTGGACAACAGGGCGAAGAGAGAAGGATGGACGAGCGCGCCGATACGCAGTTCGATGGGAACCAAGCAAATCGAGCAGGAGTAAGCAGACAAGGAGATGGACAACAACGTGGTTAGCTTGCCGACATGTCACAAGCATCTGCGAGCCACACTTAGAGCAGACGAAGTCTCCCATCCAGACTGAATTTAAGGACCAACGTGCGAGAAAGGCTGGGCCCACGACTTAACATCCGCGCCCGCCTGGGCCCGCAGGGAAACGTTCTTGAAAGGCTAGGCTCCCAGAGAGGTCAACCTGATGGCCATTGCAATGAGGATAGTGAAGAAAGGCACTCTGCTGCTCGCTCACAGAGAAATGTTCACGAAAGGCTAGGCTCTCAGGGAGGTCAACCAGATAACTCTCACGATGAGGACCGTGAAGGAAGGCGCTCCGCTGCTCGCTCTCGAAGAACCAATTCTCACCACCAAGCTACAGAGAATCCCTCGCAAGCGCAGTCTACCAACACGCCGCCGAGAAGGTCAACCCTTGCAAACCAACGAGGAAGTCAATCAGCGTCGTCCAAATCGCCAAGGTCGCCCACGTGACCAACTAGCCATGTGTGTGGAAGACGTTGAGAAGCTTGTAAAAAACCGACTTCGAGACTTAAAGGTTGGCGGAAATTTCGAAGATGCATTACGCATGGAGGTAGACCAAGAAAACTCCTCACCTTTTACCGCCGAAATTGAGCAGGCTGCTCCCCTGAAACGATTCTCAACTCCCTCTTTCACATGCTTTAAAGGGGATTCCGATCTTGAAAGTCATCTGAAGCATTTCAAAAGCATTATGATCCTCCATAAGGTTGAAGACGCATTAATGTGCAAAGTGTTTGTAATGACTTTGCTAGGAGTAGCTCAGGACTGGTTCTACACCTTGCCATCCGGGTCGATCAGCAGCTTCAAGGAGCTTGCTTATGTCTTCACCAAGGAATACACTTCTTACCGGACGATTAAGAAGAACCCTGACCACCTGTTCAACTTGCACAAGAAGTCCGATGAATCCCTTCGAGACTACATCAAGAGGTTCAAGGCAGAGAGAGCAAAAATCGTAGGATGTGATGACCAAGTTGCGTCTTCTGCGTTCAAGAGGGGCTTGCCAACTGAGTGTGAGCTGTATCGTGAGCTTACCATCTCTCCCTGCCAAACACTGGTAGAAGTTTTCGCTGTTCTTTCCAATGAAGTGTTCACAAATTGCCGAAAAGAAGGCTGCCAAGCAAGCTGATCAATCATCTGAGCAGGCAAGCCCAAGGAACGAAACAACAAGGATGAAGGCAAGCGCAGATCACAGCCTCAAGAAAGTGCTCTAGCAGCTGAGAGCTACACCAAGTTCACTATCCCGATTCATCAGATCCTAGCCCAAGTAAAGGACATGCCTTGGTTGAAGAAACCATCGCCTTTGAAGGGAAACCCAACCAAGAAAGATACCAGTAGATACTGCGCATTCCATGGAGGGCACGGTCATTACACAAACGACTGCTTCGCCTGGAAAAGGCACCTCGAAGAGCTGGTCAGAGATGGCCATTGCACGGAATTCATTACTAGGGGGTCTATCCAGCAAATCAAGGATTGTGATGCAGCTGCCAATGAGCCTCCACGAAAAAGTCATACGGATCAACACGATTCTAGCAGACTCCAAGAGTCTGGGCTGACCATCAGGGAGCAGAAGAGAAAGATCAAGCAAGCGACTTTCGTCTCTCAAGCCGTCACCAGCTACCCAGTCATGGAAGACGATCCTGGCATCATCTTTTAAGGCAAAGAAGTTCTAAGACAATGGAATGCACATCACCTCCAGGGGTATTATCCATGAAGCTCCTCACCTATCAGCTCGCCTCCAAGCAGGCGGCCGAGCCTCCCTCACCTTCATTGAAGCCAAGTTACTTTTGATGTTACCCGTGCAACTCATCTCTTTTGTTCAATAAAGCAATGTAGTCGCATAGACATCAATACAAGTTTAAGCTGTTCTTTCCAATGAAGTGTTCATAAAAGCAATCGACACGTCTCCGGACATCGGCCAAACGGGCCACTCTCATCGACACGTCTCCAGACGTAGGCCAAACGGGCCACTCTCATCGACACGTCTCCGGGCGTCGGCCAAACGGGCTACACTCATCGACACGTCTCCGGACGTAGGCCAAACGGGCCCCACTCATCGACACATC